AGGGCAGCGTGCCACAGCTGATCGAACGCAATGATATAAGCTTCACCATAAGACTGGATGAGTTAACTCCACAATTGCGTGACATAAGCCAGGAGGTCCACTGTGGATCGCTGATGTAGAAAACCATTCTGCCTTGCGCTGACGTTCGAGGTAGTCCAGAAACTCGTGATTTATGCACCTCTCCATCACCTTACTTATAACAGAAAGCAGAGCTATAGGCCTGTAGATGTATGGCTCTGTCTTAAATTCCTTTTTTTTGGGGATGGATTGGTCATGAGCAAATTTACAGTTTTCTGCATACCTCTTCAATATTCGTACAACGGCAGGAATCAAGTCCGGTCCAGAAGCTTTATTATTTGTCGAGCGCCACGAGCACCCGTAAGACCGGGATTATGCCTGAATGTTACTTCCTACAAATAACCCCTAGCAAGGGACAGTCCTTCGACTTTTAAGGGGAGTAACGGGAAAAACGGAAGTTATTATTGCCACAGCTTTCAATAACAATACTTTTCCGTCTTGCTGTATAAAGGCACATATCCAATCACTTTTTCCGTAAGAATTGTGCGTGGTCATTTGGAACCATTATAGACTATTAGGCGTTTAAATCTAGTTGAGATATTCCATATACACAGTGTGATCCAGAATTTCAAAATTAAAATATTAAGGGTATTCCAAATTTGCCTTTTGCAGTTTTACTACTCACGCATGACAAGAGAACTAAAACGATCAATAACAACTTTTTATCCCAAAAACCCGATTATAAACAATCTCGCACTCCTTTGAGGAACATGGTCTAGATGAACTCAAACATTTTGCAGTGGTAACCGAATCAGTACAATTCTTCTTAACATGCTATATACATACACCTTTTTATATAGTAATTTTATTAAATTTGTGTAGCTTTATTATTTTCCGTTTTAGTTTGAATGTGTATCATAGTATAAAACAACCATTATATAAAAAACTATCTACAAACATGGGGTTGTGTTTCGAGTATTTTTCGGGAAGAATGGGTGAATGCAAGATAATGAACGAGATGAGTGACAATTTAAAAAACTTGCACAGTGACGAATTTTTTGGTATGGACTCATTTCTAGTCGACACGAGTTGAATAACGGTAATGATTATGAATAACAAAATATGTGCAACAGAAAATGTTTATGCTGATACGAGTATCGTCTAAATAGCACTTTATAATTTGTTCAAGTTTGCTCAAGTACTATGGATCCTATTCAAAAAAAGTAATAGAAACAATTTTGTAGAGAATTCAATTTTCAATCATTTTGCTTCCATACAAATTTTACAAATAGTCAACAGTTTATAAGAAATTCAACGACAAAGCCACATGTAATGTTATTTGCACTTATAATGGCTAAGCTAATAAAGACTACTATCTTTTTTTGAAGAGAATAAAATTTACTATTACTATTTACGTTTTTCCGACAGCTTGTGGTATTTTCCGCATGCTACGTACAGTGGGTCAAAAAAGTATTGTCACTCCCTATTTTTTTCTTGAATCTCAATAGCGGAAAGATGCATTTGATATATAAGAGGAACAATGTCAGAGCCAAGACCGACTCCTGGGGAACACCCTCATGTGAGATGAAGATGATAACCCGTCTATTAGGACGGATATCTTGCGGCAAATCTCTATGGGAGGTCATAGGATGGAAGTTTCCATAAGAGGGCAGCATGCCACAGCTGATCTAACTCTTTCGTAATATCAAGAGCAACGACATGAGACTCGCCATAAGACTGGATGAGTTGTGTGACGTAAGCAAGGAGGACCCCCGAGGATTGCTAGTGCCGGAAATCATACTGCCTGTCTCAGAGCTATAGGCCTGAAGTTGTAAGGGTCAATTCTGGGAAAGTGCTGGATTCGTAACATATCTGGCGAGGCATTAAAAAAATGAATTTCCTTTGAAATAGGCTTGTTGATCATATGTAATGATTATGGAGATATCCCAACGTGAAATAATGTACCCTCTTTTAATACGAACTTTTATCTTTCACTTCTTACTTCAAGCTGTCGGAAAACATAGATGCTTTTTGTATTGTGTAGTTCTACTCTCTATCCTTTATACTATTAAACTGGTTAAGGGCCGTATCGTCAGTCGTTCCTACAATAAAATTGTAGGACGCCTTTATGGCCTCCTTGATTTTCATAGTATTTTCCTTCCTTCAGAAAGGCTGGGTAATTTCTAGATTTCTACTGTACCGTGTCAGCATCAGCGCTCTCCTATTGTACGGATATGTTTTCTTTTTGAGTAGTAGAAAATTTCAGGCTGATATAAGAGATGATATAAATCAAAAGCATGAAAAATTTGGTGCAAACAGATATTTGTAACATAACCTCAAAATAGAGCGCTAACACGAAACAGCAGAAAACTATGAAAATCAGACCATAAAGGCGTCCTACAATTGTAGAAACGACTGACGATACGACCCTTAGCCATTTTAAGCGAAAATATTACATGCAGCTTTGAAAAATTTAGGATGGTAGAGAATTTATTCACCTACAAATTTGTTCAACTTACTTTTTTTACACAGAATTGATAGTTTACGAGATATTTGATCGAAAGCGTTTATCAAAATGGCGCAAACTTTGATTAACGATTACAAAGCAGTATATATATATATATATATAAAGTATTCTAACGATATCAATAAAAAAGCCTGTTGCACTTTTTGTAAGAAAAAAAAGACCTATTTACTGGAATGCCAGAGTAGTAGATTCAAATCCCATCGGCACTACATCTTTTATATTTTCAAATAGATTTGAAATGAGACCATATTTTAAGTAAAAAGCTGGCCATACACACGACTCGTGCAAAAAATTGTGGTGTTGGAACGTGGCGGTTGATCTGTGCGAGTATAATATTTTCGGTTGATTCCAAAGGTAAAATCCGTATCTATATGGACAAAAACTGTCATTTGGCGTAGTGGTGGCAATATTACACGAACTGTGATTTAGTCATTGATATTCTTAAATCACGAATCATGACTGTCACTAAATGCCGCTGACGTGACATGATCACGACTTCGGGAACTACGGCTTGTCGGGCCAAGATTCGTTATGAAACAAGACAGAGTCATGGAAGTGACTCCATAATAAAAACATCACAAATCATCCAGAAATACTAAATTAAATAGTTATGGAGTTATCGCCACGTGAAATAATGTTGTAAACATACGTAGTGTGCAAAGTATGACGCGCGAATCTTTTGATACGATTTTTAAGCTTTCACTTCTTGTACTTCAAAAACTATCAAGCTGCCGAAAAAACGTAAGAGACCTTTTTGTAGCAAATTTTATTCTCTACAAAAAAATACTAGTCTCTATATGCTAAGATTGTTAGTTTACAAGTTATAAGCAAACATACCATAACATGTAGCTTTATCCTTGAATTTCCCGTAAGCTGTTAATATTTTGTAGAAGCAAAATGACAGAGTATTCAATTCCATACTTTATTCTTTCTACTACTTTTTACATAGAATCGATACTCTGAGAGATATATTATTTTGTAAGGAACTAAATTAGTCGACAGGCTACGAGAAATTTAAGGTACACCTAATTGCATACAGATCAGTATCTTTTTTATAGTGAATACAATTTTCTACAATGAAAAAAGTTTTTTTAAGTTTTTTCCACAACCTGATGGGTCTTCAAGTATAAGGAGCGAAAATCAAAAATTCGTATTAAAACAGACGCCCGGCATACTCCGTATAGAACATGTTTCCACGTGAGGATAACTCCATGAGTCACTATCCAAGATCAAGAATAATTATGGAAAATGTAATATCTTCGGATATTTTATGATGTCTTCATCATAAAAATGCAAATCACTTCCATCAGTCTGTCTATTGACCATTTTATCACTGCCCCCAGCGACCGTTACGATTTTAATACAACACCATAAACTACCATTACCTACTTCATCTTATCCTCCATTAAAATCACTTCAATGATTACTGAAAATACTCAATGACAAAATCGCTAATAGACAGACTGAAGGGAGTGATTGACTTGATCTGCATGATAAAAATATCACGAATTATCAAAAAAATATTACATTTTCCAGACTTGAACATGGTAACAAAAAGTGATTCACTTTAAAATAGCATTCTTGATCCTAGATGATGTTTATGAAGTTATTTTCACGTAAAATATTGTATGCGCCGCGCGACAGTTTCGATACAATTTCTAAGCTTTCATTTCTTATACTTCAAGAACCAATAAACTACCGAAAAAAACGAAGGAGATCTTTTTGTAGCAAATATTATTCTCTACAAAAAAGATACTAGTCTTTATGCGCTTAGTTTGTCAGTTTACTAATTATAAGCAAATATACTATAACATATAACATGTAGCAAAATAATAGAGAATTTAATTCCCTACAAAAATTTTTCTACTACTTTTTCACCGATAGTCTACGAGATATTTGATCATACGCGTTTATCAAAATGGCGGATAATGCCCCAGTCGTCAATTTGAGCTTATCACTTTAAAGCGCTATTCAAACGATATTACCAAAAGCATTTTCTGTTGCACTATAATTTTGACAGTCAAAATCTCTATATTCGCTGACCTATGAAATATAGCGACGGCACTGTCAAACGATTTTACACATGTTTCCTCAACGCCACAAGATTTTCTGCGTGAAACAACGTGTGTGTATGGCCGGCTTATCATCCACTACATAGACTACGGTGAGTCAGACTTATACGAGGGTGTAGTGATATTCACTATAGTCAATAAAATCACGAGTTATAGTCCAAGATTGGAGATTCATCAAATCTACGACAATCCGTCAAATCGTGTATAAAAGGTTACCCTAAATTATGTTAAAAATATTAGTATTTGTAAAATGGAGTAAGTTCAATTGCTCATCAAATCATCCTCGTAACATCGCAAATTCAATGAGAAAAGCAAAAGAATGCAAAATCTCAGGAGTCAGTGCAACAACTAAATAAAAATAAACAAAGAAAAACAATACCTACCTTGATTCTGGAAACAGCTTCTTCAGCTTGCATCATTCTCGTCGTTTTGGTAGGTTGTCCTTCACATACAAGCTGAGTAGATCCCAAATATCTCGCACGAAATAACACTCCCTCTATTAATACTGAACGTTGGATCACATCTGTAACAGATATAACAGATAGAGTCTATCAGACAAGAGCTCAACAGTGGCTAGACACTGTTCAGACTCCAGAGATTGGTCTAAAAGTGATTATAAACAAGTGAAGTGCATCAGAAGTTTCCATACGAGGTCTGTAAATTAAGTGATGAGGCTGGCAACGTAGCGTTCGATTTGGCAACAGTGGAGGCGCCGGACTTAGAGGGGAGACATATGTTATCCACCTTCAGTACAAGTTTTAACTCGCTCGAGCCATTTGGTTGACAGTAGCGATTTTTTGGGTAACGGTTTTTTCTGTTGCGGCTAAAAATCAATTTCGAGCAAAGGTATGCTATAAGGTTTTGCTTCAGACTTGGGTACAATGCAACGGAAACAAGTTTTTCGGTTTAAGGCATTTTCAGAAGGGAGAGAGTCGATTGAAAATGAACCAAGAAGCGGAAGGCCTTCATCTTCAAGAACCGATGAAAATATCGACAGAATCCAGAATCTTATGCGTTCAGATCGTCGATTGATAGTCAGAATCATCGGTGACGTATTAAATTTGCTAAAGCGGGCGGTTGGTCTTATTGGCTCTGCATTCTCTGAAACTCTGTGCTTGCCAAGTGTAAATAGTAGCTTAGGTATCTACTGAGCTGTAAAGTAGCGTACGTGGAACTCACGTCACAAAAAAACTTGTTTGTCCACGATTAAATGCTTTGATAGTGGAAAAAGTTGCACGGTACTGCTTCGTTATTATTATTATGATTATATAGATTATATATATATATATATATATATAATCGGTTATAGCCACTTGCTGTGGTACTTCAAGCCCAAAGGATCTACAAAAAGAAAATGATCATGCGGAGAAAGTTATATAACAAAAAATAGGAAAATAATGGGCAAAATCCGCAAAAAGAAGGAATCTTCTCCGCATGATCATTTTCTTTTTGTAGATCCTTTGGGCTTGAAGTACCACAGCAAGTGGCTATAACCGGCCGGTTGTGGTTAGATGTCGCCTTGAAAATTCGAGGTCTTCTAGCCAATTTATACTACAATGTGTAGGTTGGCTCTTGTGGACTTCGTGTGTGATTTTTTTCCCTCTCCATCTTTGTTTCCTCAGGTTACACCCGTATCCGGATGTATGAGCATGTGTTTCTACTTTTGTAGTTGCATATGTGCATTCATTTCGGGCCTGAAGAAACCAACCAGCAGAAATACGTATCGCTCGGGTTACCTATCCTATTTTCTGCTCGAATCTACTTTCCTTCTTTTTGCGGATTTTGCCCATTATTTTCCTATTTTTTGTTATATACCTTTCTCCGCATAATCATTTTCTTTTATATATATATATACAGGGTGACTTTGAAGTTGAGTCATTAATTTTCAGATAATGATTGTAGAAGGAAGATAAACCAAAATATGTGTGTAAAAATAAAAAAAAAATAAAAAAAATTTTTACCTTGTTTTATAAAGTATCCTCCCGACAAGTATTTCAGTGCGGACCTGTATTTGATCGTGAGGTCCCCTGTGAGGTCCGAAGTCACCTGATTCACGAGCCCGTTGTACTACATTAACAAAGGCACGAGGGGTTGGTTGCACTCGATTGGGAAACCGATCCGCATAAACATGTGCCATTTTTTATTTCGTTTGAGCCACGCAACAGACACTATTCACACGCGACTGTATGTATAACTGAACTGAATAAAATAAACATCGTTCCAAATTCTTTCGCTTTTTTGTTTCCGATGCGATGAACCGATAAGGTGGATTATATCCGTTGTTGCCAAACACGAGTACATGATATTATTGAGACAGGGCGGTACTCAAACTTCCAAAGGGCTATAACTTTGTTACTTTAATTTTACCAGAAAAATGGTAAAGGAAAAAAACATTTCTTTTGATCAGATCTACTCACTGTTAAAATAAATGACTCAACTTCGAAGTCACCCTGTATATTTGCAAGAAAGGCTATATATAATGGGTGTTTTAAATACGAATTTTACCATTCGGAGTAGAAAGTCGCGCATTTAGGGAGCTAACAAACTGAAAAGGATCGTTTTTATTGTTTCCTAACTTTGAGGTGGGAATCCAAAATAAACAGTGGTATAATTAGAATATTAATATTATGTCTCTTGTCCATCAATACTTAACTTCACTTTTTTGGATGCCATATTAGGTTTTTTTCACAGGTGAGTAGTATTTTAATTCTGATTACAAAGATGTATAATAAGTTACACATCTAAAAAACTAATATTTTTATAGTTGGCTTTGAAAATGACAGTTATCATTTGCTTATTCAACTCCATCATCAATTAAAGAATGTTTCAAATTTTGAAGCGTGTTCAAAGGACATTCAAATAATTTACCCATTGATGGACTATAATAAGCGTTATTTCGACACGGTGGAGCCGCTCTACATGACACCACATCCTTTCAGTTTTCTATCAGTTTCTCAAAATGATACTTTTTCCAATGGTTTCGATACTACCTTTAAATAAGACGGAAAATATTTCTTATACACACTTTAAGTTTTATAATATCAATCCATCTCATATATGTAGATTATTACATGATTAAAATCGAAAATAGGGTTTACCTATGCTTAGTTCTAATGTACTCAACTCTAGAGCTATAAGAATTTTAAACAACTTTGTAAATGCTTTTGAAATGGAATATTACTCTTTTATCTTTGATAACGTGAAAATTATAACACCTTCACAGCACGGCTCCATGAAAGGTAGATCTACTACGTCAAACTTAATGGATATTACGCAATATACATAGTGTCGCAGAAATCGACGTCAAGCCGGAAACGGGGGATAGGCCATAATAGTTATCAGAAAAATATAAAAGAAAATTTAAGTCGTGTACTTTTCACATTAGAGGCTTTAAAAAAATCTACACCCTGTTATGATCTTTTAGGTCTCATTTCTACAAATTTCAATTTTCTCTTAGACGGAGTGTGACTGACAGTGTTATTTTTTTTATACTCCAACTACCACGAAGGCCTAAGGCTTAAACACCCATTGGGTACCGTGGGGCTATAGGGGGATACATGGGAAAGGGGGGACGCCACACGGACTCTGGCGAGGGAACACGTGTGCATCCAACGTGCACACAGTCTGGCTCCGCCTACGAGAACCGCCCGGTGGTACCTCCGCGTTCGACAGTCAGAGACCATCTACCACCTACAGACAATCACAACATCCATAGCCAAGAGAAAAATTTCTCCTGGGACGGGACTCGAACACACACAGCGCACGGCGACTGATCAGGAGACCGAAGAGTCTACTGCGGTCACCGCTGCTGCCTAGAGAGATGGTAACGTCACTTTTATTAATTCACGATTTTGTAGTGCCACCATGTCTGTGTACACCGTACAGGAACACGACAACATGCACCTCATTCATGGGGAATGTAGATCCAATGCTAGTGCTGCAGCTAAGCTTTATCGTGAGAAGCACCCAAATGCTGCTCGTCATCCCGATCAGCGAGTTTTTATGAATGTGCATCGTTTACTCTCGGATGGACGATTCCCAAATCAAGTACATGATGGAGGAAGAATTGCCTTTGATTACGAGGGCGTCGTACTACAAGCAGTCCAAGAAAACCGAGTACTTCAATACGTCAAATAGAATCAAGCACGGGAGTGCCTAAAAGTACAGCCCACCGAATCTTGCGAAAGAACGAGCTCCACCCGAACCACGTACAGCGAGTACAATCTCTACAACCCCAAGATTATCTCCAAAGAGTTGAGTTATACCAAACAATGTTACAGAGACACCGGGAAGATCCGCGATTTTTTGAGAAAATTTTATGAACTAATGAAACGACATTTAAAAAAAGACGGTTACATGAATCTGCACAGCTTACACGAGTGGTATGTAGACAATCCACATTTGTTGAGACAAGATACATCACAGTATCGTTTTAAATTAAACATCGGGACCGGGATTCTAAGTAGAAGAATCATTGTATCCATTGAGGTGACAGAGTTCTTTATTGGTGAAATTTATTTAGACTTTTTACAAAATCATTTACCAAATTTGTTGTAAGACGTGCCAGTAAGCATTTACATAGACATGTGGTACCAGCAAGAAGGCTGCCCGGCGCACTATGCTCGTTCAGTTAGAGAATATTTTGATGCGGAATACTTGAGCAGATGGATAGAGCGGTCTGGTATAATTTTGTGGCCAGCCCGTTCACGTAACTTAAATGACTTCATTTTTTTACTGGGGAACGGCGAAAGAAAAAGTTTACTCAAAGGCAATCGAAGATTTCATTACGTAGCATGACACTGTCCGACACTTCGTCTAAGGAAAAATTGAATTTTGTAGTAAAGGGAACTAAAAGATTATCACAGGGAGGAGGTTTTTCCGATTTTTAAAGCCAATAATTTGAAAAGTACACGACTTAGATCGTTTTTTATATTTTTCTGATAACTATTATGACTTAGCCTATCCCCCGTTTCCGGCTTGACGCCGACTTCTTGTGAACTTGTATGATTCAAATGTTATTCCCGTATATTCCGTTATATCACTTTTATACAATCAATGTAGTTGAAAGAATTTTTGGATGAAAATTAATAAAATCTATAATCTGATTGTTCATTCATTCAAGCTAACCTCCATGGTCTGTTTATGCAATGCCGTCGTCCAAACGCACGCACGAAGCGTAGCGTCACCAGCAAAAGTTCGCGACGTTCATCCAGCAATTCTAGTATGATATCGTATTTGATTGGATTGTATTGCTGTTACCATAATTTCACTTGAAGTAAAGTTCATTTTTAGTGTATTCTCATGCACTTTTGTTTATGAACACTGTACTTTACGTTTATAAGATACTACATTATTGTGGAAACCATATTAAATGGGACCAAATCTATACAAAGTTGTCACTGTCAAGTCATATTACTATTATATTTTTTCACTACTAACCTAAGAAATCGCCACTGTTTATTTACTTTTCTTAATTATATTGAAGAAAACTCTAGGTAAATAATTAATATGTGCATTTTATGTAGAGCTTCTTTGGCTTGTTGAGCACATAATTGACACTGCTATCAATCCCTTTATCCGTTTTCGAATATTACTAACAATTGAAGGGTATAGGGAAAAAAAGATGAAAGTCACAAAAAGTAAGTTGCGAATTTTGAAGACTCCTAGACTGGATGTACAGGGTGGGTCAAAGATCTGACGGAGTACCATATTCCTTATTATGTACAAGAAATTATAAATATTTTTTTTATGAATGATGAATTCAACTTTTTTTGAGATATTGAGGTTAGAAGTGAGCCTTTCGTCATATGCGACACCATATAAATTCTAAGGGTAGGTCAACCAGCGAAATGCCTATCTTAGGTTTTACGATCTGTTCTAATACGAGAGCTCCCTTAACAGGAAATTTATTACACAGGGCCTAGAACATGAGAAAAAGGTGATCTATCTAACCCCAATAGCTCAAACAGAATTATTTCTAAGTATTTTTTTAATTGGGACAGGAAAAAACAATGAACTAAAAAATCTTTATTCAAAAGAATATAGGAGAAATAAACAAAATAAAATTAATGGTAACTGCTTAAAAATGATTTTCTCTCGTCGCAGATTGGTGTATGATGAATTGCTGTAGTAGCTACTAGTTTCGGTGACGATCAGCGGACGCTCATATTTTTTTCATACAACGGCTGTGACATTCGCCTTTTTGCCTGCACTGCAACTTTTCAATTGGTTATAACTAGGACTGACATTCTTTTTGCTTGTTTCCGATACCTCATGAGATTGTACTGCTTCAAGGCTTCATGTCGCCGTTTCTAACTACAAAACACCAAATTTATGACATTCATCTTTTTTACCCTGTACCCTTCAATTATTGTTTAATTCAAGTAAATACAGCGTCAATTTTATAACTGAAATTATTGTTGTTGATTGTGTTAATTCATCCCATTGATTTGACAGTCTGAAAGGCATAAAACTACACAACTACGACATACCGTTTTTTTCACCTTTATTTTTGTTTCTGACCCTCTTTTGGTAGAAAATCTGAAAATATCTCTATTGTTTTAAAAAACCGTGGAAAATGAGGACGTTTTCGGTATTTCACTAAATAAAGGTCTTATTTCTTTAGAAATGCCGAAAAAGGTTCGGGAACACTGCGGCGTAGTGAAAAAATGGCTGAGGTTGAACGGACATCACGTCACAGGATGGGCGGGTACTATGCGTAACCGGTTCTTACTCTAAAAATGGCCTTGGTAAATTCGCGTCAGCTACCCCAATTCACAGCTTTGATGATGACAGCACTCTACATGCAGGAGCTTAGAGCGACAAACCGATCTCGGCCGGTGAGCTGGAAAAAAGAAGACTCGCGGCGACTTCCTCTCTGAAGAGAGACCTGGAGGTTATCACTGCCTGGGGACGCAACGATCTTGTACAGTAAGACCTAACCTCGAGTATTGCTCACACGTTTGGGGCGCTGCCGCCCCAACTACATTATTTATGCTCCAGAGGAGGGCTGTCAGACTGATCGATGACTCTTCTGTAACACACAGTCTCGGGACTCTTTTGCACGGGCGGGCCGTCAGCGATCTAGCTCTCTCCTACCGCTACACCAAAAGGCTCTGCTTCTCAGAGCTCTCCTCCATGATGCCGCCGCGCCACGTGCCTGCCAGACAGACCTGCCTGACTTGGGCCTCCCATCCTAACCGGGTCGAACTTCGTACACCCAGAACTTATCGATACGTCCGCTCCTTTGTTCCGACGGTATCGAGATTATGGAACAATCTACAAGAAGAAGCTTTTCCCAGTTCTACAAACAAAATATCTTTGGGATCCTCATAGCAGCCGCGGTGTCTTGGCAATTAGGCTTCTGCCTGCGCGGCTGCTTCGGTATAAAAAAACTATGGTTTATATGACAGCTGAGCAGTCGCAAAATAATTGCTTAACTGTCCCGTCTCCATGTCCCATATCCCCTATAGATAAGAGGTTTTAATAGCCCTTTATTCTAGTCGATCAGTTGTCATATATCACCGTTGGATTATGTGACCTTTCACTCAGGGAACAGTTATAATGTAATCAATATAGTCATACATGTGCAGTCATTGTATACGTCCTAAAAATGTATAGATTTGGCCTTGCCAACATAAAATAAATTCAGTTTCCTTTTTTTACATTCCACATTGATAACTTACCATAAAATTCCAAATTGTATCGCAAGTTAAATAAATTTGTTATTTTCACGAGACATTTACAAAACAAAAAATAACAATTTTTTATCAAAAAGTCCACTTACCTTCTTTATTTCGGCCTTTCTTTTTACTGTCCTTTTCCTGTAATTTGAAATGTATCATAAAAGTTTCGAGAAAAAAACAAGGTTTCATCTATTTCAGCTAAAACAGGCTTTTATCTATGCAAAAGCCAACTAAACAATATCATACTGCCACTTTACAATTTAGAAGACGTGAAATCTTCGCATTCGTCAGAGGAATATTCTGACTCGTTTTTTTCCATAATCAGGTTTGTTAGATGATGCCCCTTAAGATAAATCAAGATGTTGCCGGGCGGTAAATTTGTGTAAACAATTTTTACTTCTCGCGACTAATGGCGATAAAGTCTTGTAATCGCGAAAAATATGGAAAATGAGACATGTTTTTTGGATGTTACATGACATGTACAGGGTGGCCAAGTAAGAATGTAAGGTACTGTATTTGGGTACCTGCCCATCGTAGAGGCTTGCGACAAGAAAAGTTCTTACTGAAACGGCCACGAGAAAAACCTGTACATTTTTTAAGTTTCTCAAATGGTCGCTAACGGGCGTAACTGCAATCTTGAATGTAAAAAAGTGATATTTCTGCGAATTCCGCTATATTAACCTAACAAAAAAAATACCTGATCTTCAAAGTCGATGATAATATGAACTTTTTTTGTTTGACAATTTTTGCAGTATCTCTAAAAATAAAGTGGTTTTGGGTATTCAAAGGTTTCCAAAAAAACACCCTGTATCTTCGGAACGGCTGAGCCGATTTTAACAAACTTGGGCTATTTAAAAATAGCTATTCTTGGGCTACAGATATTATAATATTTGAAGTTTTGTTAGTCTCACATGTGGCCGCTAGATCGCCTTTTTCGACATTCCGACAGAGACGGTTAATTTTTTTCAGAAAACTAAATGCATTGGTATGACTTTTTTATGAGAAAGTAAATTGTGTCTAAACAAGCTCGCGAAAACCGCATCTCGGTATCTTTCACGAAAATCCCTTGAATTTTTATTTTTTAAAAAACTACACAAACAAAACTTGTTTTTGCAGTTGACTAGTTGCCCAGCACGTTTTGCTATTACTGTGCGAGAGCATATTAATGCAGTATTTCAACAGCGGTAGATTAGAAAAGGAAGTCTGTTTCCATGGCCAATATTATAAAAATTTGTAGCCCAAGAATAGCTCTTTTCAACTGGCCCAAGTTTGTTAAAATCGCCTCAGCCGTTTCGAAGATACTCGTACAAGGTATTTTTTTACGGAAACCTTTGAATACTCCCCACCACTTTATTTTTAGAGATACAGCAAAAATTGTCAAACAAAAAAGGTTCAGATTATTCTCGAATTTAAAGATCAAGTATTTTTTGTTAGGTTAATGTATCGGATTTCACAGAAACATCATTTTTTAGATTCAAGATTGCAGTTTTGTCATTTCAGACACTTGAAAATAGTTTCCAGGTTTTTCTTTTGGTCGATTTAGTAAGAACTTTTTTGCCAAACGCCTCTGCGGTGGATAGCTTCCTAGATACAGTACCTCGCATTCTTAGTTGGCCACTCTGTACTTCACGAAAGACCAGTCATTTCCGTCGGTCTTTGTGTCGGACTATCTGTCGGTCTGTCTGTGGGTCTGCCTGTCTGTCTTTCGTTCTGCCTGTCTGTCGGTCCTTCTGTCCGTTAATCCTTGGCCCGTCTATAATTTGCCGCGTGGATTTGGAAGAAATTTTCACACAAGGTTACTGCTATGCCAATGACAAAAAAGCTTTGTAGTTTTCAAAAATCCGTTCAGTGACGACAGCGAAAAAGGTCAAAAGAAAAAAAATCGTTCAATCGCTTCTGATCATTTTTAGTGTTAAGTGTTAAATATTCGTGGTTAGGCGTTGCACGCGGTGGGAGAGGGTAACTCATTTTTTTGACAGTAATTCTACACACCAATTAGACATACTTCACTCATCACAGATGTCCCCGTACATTTACCTTTGATATGAAAAACCATAATCACCCTTTTTTTTAGTTTTTCAAATTTATGACAAGGATAAAAAATGTTTCTTCAAGGTCGCAACGGATTTTCGTATTCAATTTATTTCAGTTTTCATAACTGTCCTAAGATTTTCTGTTCGACCATTGGTTGTTGAGATATCGTCGATCGAAGACAGAAAAGTCCATTTTGATTTAAAGATATCTCAGATAAGAAAGGTCGTACCGAGTTTTTAAAAAAGCAAATGGAAGCTGAATAAATAAGCTATCTGGTCCATACCATGGCATAATTGGTATAATTCTGTTCAAGTCCAGACTTGGAAAAAAGAGAAACAAATAGCATTTTTTTCGTCCTATTTCTTAAAAGTGCGTGGAACATGTAACTTTGATTTTTTTCCCTAATGATCTTAAAACTAGAAACTTGGAGCTTCAAAATGCTTAGATTGACCATTTTTTGACTCAGGTGCAGCGTTCTGAAAAATCACTAAAAATTCCGGGAAAATGTTGGAACCTTTAATTTTTTTCATCAGTGGATATGATGTTAGATACCCAGTACTGAACCCACAAAACGCTCTATTGGGGTATGGGAACCCAACTTGAAGTACTTGTATCTGTAAAATATTTTGGACCCATGGGCGTATTTGAATTTACAACATACCAAATTCTAAAGAAATAGTCGAAAGCTTTTCAGAGTATCTCCCGGCGACCTCTTAATTCATGTTAAGGAGCACCCAAAAAATGTGGTTATGAAGAAAAAGTAGTTGGAAAATCTCTTCGATGAATACGTGTTTTTTTCCTCGTGTAATTCCTGAACTGAGTTCTAATACCAGCATAGATATGAATGATGGAGAAATGACGATGTGATTTCTACCAACGCCCCAGCAGCACAAAGAAAAATACAAGGAACCTCGGTTATTACATATAGGCCTTTACTTTCTGATAGTATTAACACAAAACTTAGTGGTTACTTTTTTGTTGCGTCTGCAAGTGCCAAGATTTTTTGAATATGTCACCCGTTACTCGATGCTTACAACTTTTTGGTTATACAGGGTGTCCCAATATGCAGTGCACATAGAAGAACCACGTATTTTTAGACCCAAAATAAGTCGATTGGCCATGATTTATCTCTATGCAAAAGTGGTTCGTTTGTCCGTTCTTGTTAAAACCCATTTTTTTATATTTTTTTTATTATATAATATATTAAAACCGGCATAGTCTTCGGACCTGGTTTCTAAAAATTGTTCTTTTTACATCACGTGTTAAAATCTCTTGGGCCGTATTGTTATGTGAAGGAACGAAAATTGTGAGCATATACAAACCACTTTGCTGCCGTTTCTAGAGGGCCGTCCACACGTCCTTTTTCAGCAAGACAACGCACGTCTCCATTCTTTAAGAAGCAGGCGTCAATGTATTGCCGTGGCCACCCCATTCACCAGGTTTAAATCCCATCGAACATGTGTGGAATATGATGGGGAGGAGATCTACTTTGCACCATTAGCCACAGAATCTGACACAGCTAATCCACGAAATGAATGAGGTGCGACAACCAGATATCGATCATCTCATTTTGTCGATGCCTAGACGTATACAGGCAGTGTATGTTATTCAGCTGCGGGGTCGCCCAATACATTTTTTTTCTCATTACTTGTCAATAAAATTTCGTGAGAATTATATCGTTTCATTCTTGATGTAAGACTACCTCATTGCCAAAAAAATCAAGTTGACGAAATCATTTTTTCTGGGTGTAACACTTCTAATATCACTGAGTATATATTATACATATGTATGTACATACTTTGTATATATCTAAACGTAACAAACCTTTTTTCTTAAGTTTTTTGTTTATTTTGAAAACACATATACTAAGTGACATATAAATCCGAACACCCAGTTTAAATGGTTTTATTCTAATAAAAGTTGGTGAATGTATTTATCTTACTGTAAATAACAAGTGAACAAATTTTCAGCCTTATCAGATGGACATTCCGGTTTTTATACTGCTTTTTTTTAATTCACTAACGCTCTAAAAATGAATATTTCAGCCGCAGTAAAGAATCAACGTTGGCGGATTTTGGTTCTTGACATCCTTTACGATCGGTTACGATGCCTAGAGTGCGGAGACCTGTACGATTTCGTCAACTTAGTGAGTTTGATAGGGGCCGTATAGTGCGACTTCGGAAAGCTGGACTTTCTTTTCGGGCAATTGCAGTTAGAGTGCAAAGAAGTGTAGACACTGTGGTTAGGTGTTATCAGGCATGGCTTCGAGAAGGCCGTACGCAAAGAGCAAGGGGCACTGGACGCCGCCGTAGAACAACAGACCGTGAAGATCGCCGCCTAAGATTATTGGCCTTAAGGGACCGTTTCTCCACTACCAGGTCCATTGCAAATGAATGGTTTGCAGAACACGGAAGACCTATTGGCATGCGAAGGGTTTACCGACGAATGAGAAGTTTTGGCTTGTTTTCATACCGGCCACACTGGGTCCTCCCTTTAACTAGAGAACAACGACGTAATCGCCTTGAGTGGTGCAGACAACGGTCACTCTGGGATCAGGAATGGAACAGTATTGTCTTTAGTGACGAGTCTCGATTTTGTTTAGGCATGCACGAGGGTCGTGCCAGGGTTAGAAGGCGACGTGGTGAAAGGAGGAATCCACAGTTTTTTGTTGAAAGACATGTTCATCACACTGTTGGAGTTATGGTTTGGGGTGCTATAGCTTATGGTTCCAGGTCACCTTTAATCTTCATCAGAGGTAACATGAACGCGCAGCGTTTTATCCACGAAGTTCTAGAACCCCATCTTTTACCCTATCTTGACACCCTGGCAGATCCAACTTTCCAACAAGATAATGCCCGACCACATGTTGCAAGAGTCACAATAGACTTCTTTCAACATAATGATGTCACATTGTTACCATGGCCACCAAGATCTCCCGGCTTATCCCCAATTGAGCACGTGTGGGATATGATGGGTAGGAGATTGCTCAATTTGCAACGTCCTCCTCAGACTCTAGAAGCACTTCGAGAGGAGTTGGTGGTTGCCTGGAATGAGATACCACAGGAGGACATTGACCACCTGATCAGAAGCATGCCTAGGCGCGT